ATATAAAGCAGTAGATACACAGAGAACAAAAGAGAGACAAAAGGAGAAAAGAGGAAAAAGAATAGTACAATCTATATGCATATTCTGGAGCCTACAACACAAGTAGCACTTTATTCCAGAGAGAGAAGCATCAATCTTGACAGCATATGGCATCTGTGCAAAATCCATTAATTTTTAATATACCGGGCGCTGAAATGAAAAGGCTTCCTGAGACAAGCAATTGTCAGATGTCAGTAGTGTTTTGATAACTTTTTTGATCTCCTTTTTTTTATTTGCATTCATAAAATGAGGCTGTCCACATGACACCTCAGCTTGGACATGGCTGGAGACTGACATGGAACCATTTTCCACACAATTGCTCCCACCTTCAGCCTGCAGAATAAGCAGAAGGGAGGAAATAAGAAGTGGGGGAAAAAAAAAGTAAAAAAAGATGTATGGATGACARTGTGTGAATGTGCATTGGCTGGTGCCTGAAATAAAACTTAACTGTTTTATCATGAACATACCGGGGACATACTGATGCAGTATATCATTTTTATGGATAAAATAGGCACGTTTGTGGACAGGAAATATATGTGTATATTATTATTGTGCTATTTCATTGAAAAGGCACACAGTAGAAATGATTCATGACAGAATTTGTGCATTAAAAAAATAGTAGCCATGCTTCCCAGCTACCATAACGTGCTCACTCTGTATTGTTTTAAAGAACTGTTAGTGCTTAAAGAGCAGATTACAAAGGTCTCTTCAAAATAGGGAAGAAAAGCACTAAAGCTCAAATGTTCTCCAGCTTTGTGACTCAGTTCAGTTTGAAGGATAAAAGGAGCTCCTCTCAATAAAAGCTAAGTACAAAGAGGTCAAACAGTCAGCTCAATGAGTTTTGTCATACTTCTTTATCCTTAGTGAGCTCTATAGGAAGGTCCTCACTCCTCTTAATGTGAATACATGACTGTACTTGAGAAAAGTGTGATTTTTTTTCTTCCATCTCTCACTTTTGATGGATAACTCGTTGCACCCATTTAAAGTCACGGGATCATCTTCCTCTACAGAGGCTGGATTACGGAATATTTATTCATATTTGTAAAGTGGCAATTTAAAGCGAGTGGCCATAGGAGATGAGTGGGAACCTGGAAAATGCCATAAGAGCTGCTTGGGAGGCAGGTGCAAAGTGGACTAATTAATAGCAATCTATATACTGGCTGGGGCACGCAGAGGGCCGACTGAGACACACTCAGGTCCGGCAATGAAAAGATAGCGGCTCCAAATTCATTTTCTCACTGCAGCCTTCCCAGTGGAAGGCTCAAAAGTACACTCACACTTCCTTTAATGCATTCACTGGGGTGTGATTTATTTTTGCATTTGCCAGCGCATTTGGAAAGTTCATTACCTTGCTCATGGCTTGTTAATTAGCCTTGTAAAGCCGCCATTAGATCTCCTCGGGCCAGCACTGAGATGAGACATTTGTCCCTAAACATGAATGTAGTGCTGGAGGAGAGTGCCGCCTCACCGTCCTTGTTTGAGTTGTAACGTGGACACCTTAGTGAAAACGGAAAGGATTGTAAAGTCAAATGCATTCAGGTGAGCTGTGTCACATCACCTGATCCTTGCGACTGTCGACACAGTTTCAGCAATGCTTACTTGTCCACCTGCTCTTTAGGCACTGATCTCAACAATGTAATCAGGTATTGTTATTTTTTTTTTGAGTGTATTAACTCAATTCCCATCGATATGGCTTTCTGTTGACACGTCATTGGGGGKTTTCAAAGCCCAGGAGCTCAACAGGAGAGCAGTTAAAGTAAGCTCTGCTGGTAGGTTTAAGAAGTGCAGCGTGAGGTGAAACTGGACAAACATGAACTGACACCTTCACAAAAACACCAGCTATCGAGACCAAGCAGCAAAGCTTCATTGATTCCACAGGTGTTTATGCGTGTGGCCAAGTGGGTAGAAGGCAGGTGCCTCATTTGAACTTTACAGGAACAGAAGAAGAGCTGACTTACCCCAGGAATAATAATAATAAAAATGTCCCGATGCTTTATTTTTGGAACAGCTGCATCTAATGGGGCCTGGCAGGTACAGGAGGCGTCACATCTGTCGAGGCCCAGGTGATGCTCCAGCCCTCTGCTCCTCCCCACTCCTGATCCCGCTCCCCACCTCTCAAATGACTCATACCGAAGATCAACAGTGTCATTTCTAATAAACCCTTTCTTCCTCGTCTTGCCACTTCCACTCAGTCCTGGTGATAGGTTCTTGCTAGTAGCCATTTCGTTCCACAACACRGAGGAAGAGTGGATGCATAATGTAAAAGATGTAAAGAAGATAAATGCTCTGTCTAATGCTAAGACACTGCGAAGATTAATTATAAAAATCCAGCTACCTGACTGGAGATTTTGWATCATGGAGACCATACATCTGAGAAAGAGTGCCTCCATCTGGGACTAGAAAAAGGACAGGGATTAGCAGTTGTGAGATTAGTGTGTGTTCTGCACATTTTACTTCCATTGGGTAAAATTAAAACAGCTGAYACATTGAAACCCTTTACATTAAACAACATTTTTACTGCAAAATGCAATTTCTTCCTTCCTCTAAAGTTCCAACATACATCATCGCAACACCTAATAGGGAAAAAGTGCCTAATAGGTGAAGATATAATGTACAGCATCTCTACTTCTGTTTTCATTTTTTGCTTAGTTTACGTTCACAAATCCAGCCACCCAAGCAAAACTTGCATAACTTTTTGAACTGCGGTAGCTGAGTTGTCATCTTTCCATTGAGGGATGCACCTTCGTTTGTTAAAAAATAAAGAAAAGAAGAAAAAGTGACATAATTAAGAAATATAATACGAGGTTGATTTGTGAGATTCTCATTAGGTTCAAACTCTGTCTTTTAACGCTTTTAATTTAGCTTTGATTCTTTTTTGCTTCAAACAAACTTTCACTCTCTCGTTTTTTTAATTTTATTATTTATTATTTTATTTCTAAGCATAACTTTCAATTACCTTTTTAACACCAAACAGCATTGGACCAAGTTTCGGTTTCTGCATTTCTGTTTAGGTTTTACTTTGCTTATTAATGGATTTATTTATTTCTAGCTCAGTTTCAGAGCATGAAAAAAGAATAAACTGGTAAAATTTCTTTGTTACTGTTATAATGAAAAAAATGCATTTTTATAACAAAGTAAAGTAGTTAATTTCACAGTCACATAAATCATTAGTTCCTTCATTACAGCTTAAAATATTTTATATCAACTTTGATACTGCACATTTTACTTCTCCACTGTGAGGCAAGAAAACTATTTCTTATAGACTACAAAGTGAAAGTGTCTTGCAATGTTCACAGTTCGTTCTTCATTTTTCCATCACAGAAAGCCATACTTTTCTCCTTAACCACAATTATCATTTCTACAAAAGAGATGATTTGTTTAAAGTGCTCCACTCTTTGAATCTAGAAAATTATWTTTGAAATGACTTCTGTATTTTTGTATTCATTTATTTTGTTGTGGCTTAATTTTGTACAGTAGATGTTCTAAATATTTGGCTCATAACATTATTTTTTTAATTTTTTATTTGAATTTGTCCCTTATACATGAAAATGTCCACAATCGCACATGATAAAATAGCATGACTGTYTTATATGTGCTCATAATTCTGCATATTGTAAATAAAATCAACAACAGATAGTGTAAACTTTAAATTTCAACAATAAATAAATAAAAATTAGTGCAAACTGACTAAAAACATTTAAAGTTAATTTTATGCTGCAAAACTTTTAAAATGTTAACAATAAAAAATATTTAACAAATCCTGTAGTTATTGTTCACTTTTACAAAGAGTTTGCTCTTGTTTAATATAGGATCAGCTATTTTGGTTAAAAAAAAAAGAAAACAAGTACATGAGTTGTTCTGTGTTTTCTCTCAGACAATCAAAGTGCTTTTTTATCGAAACAAAATATTCTTCCTCYCGTTCTCCATCTACCTGAACTCCACAGAACTATTTTTACCTTTATCAAGCATCACTGTAGGAGACTTAAATAGTTCAGATACAGAAATGTATCACCCTCATCACAGGGTGGGTGGTGGTGGAGCACCGCACAACAGTAAGATCAACAACAGTAACAACAGCAGTAGCAGTAACACAGCAAACTGCTGAGAAAAAAATAAAGAAAAGAAAAGAAAAGCTCTACAGAATGGTGCCATCAGCTCTAGTGTTTATTTTTTGCCTTTCTGGCTCCCCCCCACCTCCTCCTCCTTCCTCTCCCCCTCCTCCCCATCCCCATCTCTCTCCTAATCCAGAAGACAGGAAGCTGTTTGTGGGGATGCTCGGCAAGCAGCAGAGCGAGGACGACGTCAGGCGGCTGTTCGAGACCTTCGGCCAGATTGAGGAGTGCACCGTACTTCGAGGGCCTGATGGGGCCAGTAAGGGTCAGAGCCCACACACCTCCCACTCCTTTCCTCTTTCTTTGTCCTTCCTTATTTCTTGTCTGTTCATTCCTTTCCTTTACATTTGTTAAAGTCGTGCATTTGCTGCATTCGTCGCCGCGGTCTTTGATGCACTCTGCTCTGAATAACTCATCCTCCCTTTCAGCTACCCCCCCCCCCCCCCCCACACACACACACACACCTTTTATGTGTCGCACTTACTTTCCTCTCATTGTCACCGTACTTTGACACCTTCTTCCTCCCACTTTCCCTTTTTGTCACTACTTTTTGTATATATATTTTGCACTTACCCCATGGCATCTTTTTTTCCCCCTTATTTGCTGATTTCCCTCTTACAATGTCTCTTCAGTTCCTCTCACTTCGGGCTTGTGTACTGGCACACACACAGCATCTCTCCTTTCCATCCCGCGCTCCGTTTCTCCACTTCCTGTTATCTGAAAAGTGGAAAGGTGTTATCATGTTTGCTTCCCATATTCCCATCATCCCTCCCCAGAAACACTTTTGGACAATATTGTCCTACTGTAAATAAAGCAGTCAGGCTCTGGTTTGTTGCTGCCACTCACTGTGTGGTTGACTTGCCCACACTCAGGAACATTATTTGTGTTTTTTTGGCTTTTAGAGTCAAAAAAAAAAACAACAACTTTAAAACGTGTGACACAGGTGAGATAGGTATGAAAGTGTAAAATTCTCTAGATTGTCCTTTAAGAGTTTCCTTTGGTCTCAGTCACATTTAGAGCCATAATACCCATGATATTGTTCTGAACTTCCACCTCTTTTTTTTATCTGTCTGTTGACTGCGATTTATTCTTGTACCTAAAGCCTCTGAACACAGAGGAAGGCAAAGGACAGCAGTGGATAATGTGCAATGTTGCAAATCCTTCTGAGTATATCAAAGAAAAAGCCCGGTTGTACTGAACCTATCTGTGTCTACATCTATTCCTCTCACTGTTAATCCCAGGTCTATTGCTCTGCGTTGCCCCCTCCAGCTCGCCACCTTTCTTCCTCCGCAGCTCGTTTCCACTTTTTCTGTCTCTTCCTTTTTGTCTCCCTCTCTTTTTTTGTCTGCTCAGATGCCTCAAGCTGATTGACAGCAAATAAAATGAAATAAAGCCCATGTTGCAGTGTCAGACAGAAGCTAGTTTCGCCGCCTTGTTCGTGCTTTCTCTCCTTTTCAGCCTCCTACACCCAACACTTTGCCTCTTTCTTTCACTCTCACCACATACCAAGCGTTCTCCGCTCTGAAACTTATCTTTGTTATCGCTGAGTCGATTGTTCTCTTCTTTAGGTTTTGCGATTATGAAATTTGGCGGGGGGAAGAAATCATAATAACTATGAATGCCACCATGAGGCAAAAGTTTCATATATAGGTATCTGGTTCTATCACTCGCTATGCAACAGTCCCACGCAATCATTACGGAATRTTACGGCAAATTATTTTGCCAGCCRCCTCGCTCGGGATGAGGTTCCCATAATTTGAATGAGACAGACCTTGAAATTGACAGCGCTATCTGTTCCATGGTTGAGGCTTTGTCCCTGTTGATGTAAATTTATGCCACTCAGAGGCTTTTCAGCGGCCCTCTTCACCCAATAAAAAGGCCGAGAAGTTGAACATCCATCTCTCTGTGGTGCTGCTCCTCAAAGTACTTTCAAAGTGCAACACTTGCTGCCAGAGTTGAATAGAGCCCTGAATTGTCAGCAATAATAGAGAGATGGCTTTTAGGTCTATAATTAAGTTGTGTTATAAATGTCACCCATCCAGAGGGATGGAATTCATGCATACATATTATTACCCCGGGAATTCAAAAAGCAGTGCAGATCTTCTCACTTGAAAGTAATACAATCTCTCTCTCTCTCTCTCTCTCTCTCTCTCTCTCTCTCTCTCTCTCTCTCTCTCTCTCTCTC